GATTTCCAACAAATTTTTTGAGTCACTAAAAAGTATTAATTTGAGTAAAATAGAGTGAACATATACTTGATTTAAATATAATTGTCTCCGGTGAATTACAAAAACAAAATATCTTTTTTATTTTAATATTTTCAACGAGATTTTCTCTCAATTATTAGTGCTTCCTTCAATATTTTCAATTATAAAAAAAATACAAAACCATCCATATTTAAGTCTTCCAAACTTCAACAACGGTAGTGAAAAAACAATATAAAAATAGCAGAAGTCCAGGAGGATGCAAAAACAAGACAAAAATATAAGAGAATTAGAATTAAAAGACTAGATGCATAGGAAAAAGTTAAAAATAAAAATGAGCAATTTTAAATGTGAAAAACTGATTCTTATAAATTTTTTCTATAATTGTATTTTAGTTCTAACCACTTAGTTGAATACAAATGACAGGTGGATAAAAATGTGGTTGATATAAATTGAATTCAAATATTTTAAATATAAAGTCTCAAGTTTACATTTTGTAAATATTAAAAACATGATTAAAATAGAAATTAAGAGACGTGTCAAAGATAATAAATATATTAAATAAAGATAGACATAGAAAATGACGTAACATATGAATGGTTAGTAATGTAAATTACTTTTCTTTCACATCTTTCATCTAATTTATTCAAAATAATGAACTAGAGTGCAAAACAGTGCAGAAAGTAGGTAAGGAGAAAACTTAGAAGTAGCAACCATCAAAGTTTACAGATATTGCTTAATTAGTTTAAGTTTTTTTAATTGTCAGTCCCTCAAATTCAACTAACCTTCAACATGTTGCTTAAGCAAATCTTTCCCTCATCTTTAGGCTATAAAGCAAAGCTATTTATTTATTGCAAATACATTAAATAACAACTTAAATATAATTAATGTTTTGAAAATATAAAAATATTCAAAATTCCTTTTTACATAATAAATAAGTGGATTTATTAAAAAATATATGTTATAGTTTTGCCCTTTATACGTACATAATATGACTTGCTATCCGGTATACGCATTATTTTCTTCTAAAACTAATTTTCTAATTTCAAGCATATATCTTATATTACCAACTTTATATATGCATGACCCAACCAGTGATATTTATAAAATATATATCAAGTAACAACTATATCTTAATTATTATGAAAAACAACTATATCTTAACTATTTCGGCACTTCGTTAAATAAATTTAATTTAACATATGATATATTTTTCTAAACTATATGTAAATATAAAGGTTTATATGTTTTTTTTCAAGGTTAGATATAAATAATTTTGACAGAATATTTTTAAATTATTAAAAAATGCTCTATTTTTTAAATATATTTTGTATTAGAATACGTATTTTTAAAATAAAATGCAAAAATAATTTGCAGCAAATGTAGACTGAATCCTTAACTTGACATTTGACAGCTACTAGTTAGGTACGTGCGTGTATTTTGTGCGTATTTCGTTTTTCAACTCGTATGACCAAACAAAAAATGTGGAAGTCATTTTATTTTATTTTGACAACTTTTTTTTTCTAGAAAAAAAAAATTGACGTTTTCTTTGTTAATTGAAAAGTGGCATACCAAAAGAACAAAGAAATAAGATAGGTTCATATATATTACAAAAGCACTTAAACTGATTTGAATATATATTTAAATGTAGAAATTTGCACGTGTAAATATAAGGATTTTTAATTAGTCATAGGTGGAACACACGTGTGGCTACCACGTAGCAATTTCAATTAGGTGACGAGTGATGATTGATATGTTGTTCAATATATATTAATACGACTTATTTGTATTTTTACTTTTTTTTATATTGATACTTAAAAATTTAAAAATAGAATTGAGTTATACCTATATATGTGTCCATATGTCATCTTCTGATGTCGTATTAATAAAATTTGTTGATTATTTAACAAAAAGAAAATTATTAATATAAAAATCAAATCTAGAAAATTTAATTTGTACAAATATAATTTGAAGAATGAAAATAATTAAATTATATGAGAGATCAAAATTACAATTACGTCATGAGTTGAATTTCTTTTATAAAAATTTACATTGTCTTTTAATTAAAATTATAATGAGTATGTCTTTTCTGTTAATTATTTTAAATATTATTCAATTTATCATACATAACAATATATAGTTGCATAACGACATAAAACTTTTTTTTTAGTGGTATCTATCATGCCTTAACATAATATATTATTGTTTCCTAGTTATTCATGAAATACCAATTTATTTAACGATATAATATTTGTTTCCATAAATTTCTTCTTAGTTTTAATTTTAAAAAACTTTATTTTCTTTACTTAAATTTTTATATATAAAAAACTTCATGAACAATAAAAATATCAAAGATTAAATATATTTTTGAATACTTATAATTTGTTTCTTCTCTTAAAGAGATTTATTATGTCTTGGTCTAAAACTTTTTGAGTCGCCTAAGAAAATTTTAGAAAACTTCCTTCATCTTCTTTAACATTTTATAACAAACGATGTTAGCACTACCTTGTAATTCTCAATTATTTTCCTCCAATAATTTCTAGTTAAAATCTAAATGTTTATCTCCCTTAAGTTACCACTACTTGATCATTGGATTTGTAACTTGTTGGATTTATGTGCATGTCGAAACGAACATTAAGAGTCATAATCATTTGTTTGCAAGAACCTTTTCTAGAATCATCTCACAACCCTTTCAAACTTTTTTTTTTATCATCATCTTAAAAAAGAAAAATCATCGATGTGATCTAGAACTTTCATTCTAATAAGTGATTAGATATTATTTTCACTTCTTGAAACAAGTGTTAATAATCCAAATATCATAATTCTTATTTAATTATTTGAACCAAAAACTTCCTTGAACTAATGTATAAAGAATACCTTGAATCAATCCCTCAAAATCTTCTCAAATTATTTCTTTCACTAATACTTCCATTAATTTTAAGATTAAAATATTGTTTCTAGTTATTTTTTACATCATACATTTTTTCAAAAAAAAATTCATAAATTTAAAGTGGAATCATTCGAATAGTGTCCGAGTTTGATTCTTAATGAAAATAATTTTTTTTATCAAATTTTACTTATCTCTTAACTGTATTAAATTAGTCTAAAATAAAGTTTTAAAATATTGATATAAAATAAAATATATAAAAAAAAAAAAACTTCTCCATAATTACACTCATACCACATTATCACTCTTTTCTCTGACTTTCCTCGTGTATCATAGTTTAAATCCTATACTATCTGAATTACCACTATTTTCACCAACCCATTTAGTATCTTTAAGCCATATGATTTTAATCCTCCTATGAATCATGGTGTTCTCCACCTTTATGAACGTGAATGCAACCAGCCACTTTAGCTCATTTAACACTATAATTGAGGTAATGTGTTGTTCTCCCCAACCGACACAGCATTAGCAAAAATGTATCGCAATAAATGTATAGTATATCAGAATTTTACATTGATTAACACTAGCGTAACATAAGTCTCCTCCTTTAGAACCACAGATTGTTAATAATATTAAATAGCAAAGTTTACCCAAAATGATCCTAATGTTCCATTCACCATTATCTTCACTACGCATGAACTTGTAACCAATTAAGTTGAAGGCGTCACACCCATTTTGTTGCATTGATCCTTCCATTGTTACGACTTACAGTACACGTTAATGTTTCCCCCCATATACGACACATATTTGAATATCATATATTATATGAAGGTTTGCCTGCACGACTAGCTTTTGGATGCATCTTTAGTTTCAATCTATCAATTCAGCAATTTAAAAGAGGAGCCTCTTGTATTTGATACGCATCAAATACTTTATATTATAAATATATAACCACTTACTCTCTCGTTCTAATTTTACCTCTTTTTTCAAAAAAAAACAAAAAACTTTCTATATCTCTCTTTTCTCCGCTCATACACTCCAAAAGTTGGTGTAAATTAATCATTTTACTAAAACAATATAAATTTCGTGATAATGTAGTATTTATATTCTGAATTCTGATTGTGTGTACAGTGTTTATATTAATGCCCATATTTTGTAGGAATCAATCCGTTACGACATTTATATAATGCACGTACGAAAAGCTGAGTGAATAAAAAGTCAATTAAGTGACAGACCCTAATAATTTTACCTTTTTTACTGTGGCAAAGTAAGGTCATTTTCAGGCCTTTAGTACGAAGCTAATGTGTTCCTCAGGCATCCAAAGGAATATGGTGTCAAAACCCTTCAAGTATTTAGCTTGCTTCTTAAATGTTGATGCCTCTTTTCAGAATGAAGGTGTCAGTTGGTTGCAACTTGCAATGCCATGGAAAATCGGATAATTGGTTTGGTATATCACTTTGAGCTTTCTCTTCGGGCAATGCTACACATTAATTGTGATCACTGCTTTTAGAAAACTGTTGTAGAAGCAGGTTCTCTATGATATAGTAATTGGTTGAAAAGGATTGCTAAGAATGCGACTTGAGTATCCCGTTTGTTAATTCTACCGTGCTGTTACTTCCAGAAAATGAGCCTATGTTGCACAAAAGTTCTAACATAATTTCAAGGATTTCACTTCATAAATACAATGACATTGATAAAAGTCTTGAGAGGTCATTACTCATTAGTATCATTATTAATAAAAACACACATTAAATTCAAATAAAAGTTACACAATAAATTCAATTTGTTCTGCCAATGATATACTAGTGATTAAAACAAATTAAAACAATTTTTTTTAAAATTACAAATTAACAAAATTAACTTTAAATTTGAGAGTTTAAAAACAAATTTATCTCCAACCAAAGGGATTGAAAACATATTTAGACCTATATAAAATTAGTGTTTTTTTTTCTGAGCTTTTGATGGTCATTACTCATTAAAAGAATCAAAATAAACTAGATTCCAGGTTGGCAACTAATATACAACAGCTACTTGCCAAAAAATAGTAGGTAGATCGGAATAAATATAAATATATTTAACAAAAACTTTTGAGTCCCGATTGAGCAGGTATAATGTGTATATATAATTATATATTATATATATACATAACCAGGATGATTTGTGAAAGGCCAGCTTAAAGCAAGGAAGAAAAGCCTCCATATGGAGATTTTGAATGAATCAAAACTAGATAGATACATGCTAATCTAATAAATTATAACACAAATAGACCCCTCCGGAACTCCAATGTACACAAATTGACTCTGTAACATGATCAACTAAACTACCCATGATTGAGCCCAAGATGTTCAGTTCAGCCAACAAAACCTTTTTCATTCACAAGCCAACCCACTTCACCCATCTGAAAAGCCTACCAACTCTCAAGGGCAACTCATAGTCATTAGCAACAGCAGGCTCGCTTCTAGCAACCTCTGGTTCGGACCAAACGTATACCCCACGTTCCTGCTTACTGCCTGGCACAGTATTATCCAAGATCACAGCCACAAGAAATGCTATCACCATGTGTAGTGAAAAGATTGTGTTCAGGAAGTAGTTTAACTGCAAAAGAAAACGGATTCATAAGTGATGTTTAGAAAAACCTGACATGTAAACCAACAGTATTAAAATTTGTCTTCAAAATGGAAGGAGTAACCAGCATTCAAGTGCTAAAAGTTAAAAAGGAAACCACGTTACAAGGACTCTCCAATACCGTATATATTTATTATTACTCATTAGTTAGTTCACTGCATCACGAATTTATCATGTCATAAAGTAGTTAATGACAATCACTGCAGCATTTACAAGTTAGCAACCATGAAATAACATGCAGGATTCTTTTATAAAGGATGCTGTTTACGCAAGCAGAAATCTTAATGAAAACTGGTAGTAGAAAATTGATCTTAAAACTTACGTATGCAAGCAACTACCTATGTCACCATTGACTATGAAGATAGTTTCTACTTATTTACAAAAAAATGGAGATAGATATAACATGACCTAACAGACAAAAGTGGGCTTTTCCCCCCAATATTTCTGCTAAGTCCTACAGTAATAACAGATTTTGATCGCAGAAAATGGCACCATCAAAAAATCAAGCATAAGATTCACAATAGTACAAGAACATGACACGAAGGCATACCCCTCCATATTTGGTGCGGAAAGGCCCATGAGAAGCCACAATGTAGGGTTGAAAATAACTTGGCACTGACAAATTGGAATTTGGAGAGATACCATATTGTTGAAAGTAGGCAGGTATGGAAAGAGAGAAAAACAACGATAACCCAATTATGATGATGTTGCGAGAGCTTCCAGCCTCACTATAGCGTAGATTTGACAAGCCCAGTGCTGAAAGCATTGCCCACATAAAGCATAGGAGACCAGCAACCATGACTTCAGGAATTGAAGCAATAAACCCTCCCACCTTACCTGTCCAGTACAAGTAAAATAAAACATGTTAAATTTGTAATAACAAAATTCTACAGTAATTGCAATAGAGACATAAGAAATCCTGATATAAGTACAAGTCACTGCGACCCTTAAAGTTCATTGCAAATCACTTTGAATAATTATAACTAAGGATTCACTTGGATGCCACAAACAAGATTAATGAAAAAAAATTGGTTTACAAGCATCATATGCTTTGCTAATTGTTCTAAACTTTTTGAAGGGAAAAACCAGGATACATTGCACATGATTTTTCATCTAAAACATATTGTAATAAATGCACATCTGTTTAGTGGCTAACCTATTCATCACAAGATAAACTGATAAAAGTAGATGCAAGAAAAGGACACCAGACACTTACCCACGAGAGACAACACTATCAGAAAGCAGGCACCCAATTGAACTGCTCTGCGACTTCCCATTTTGGTGACAGCAATTGTATGAACATTTTCAGTTAAGGTAGTAGACCCTGTTCCAGTTCCCCAGAGACCAGCCAAGACACTACAAATACCTTCTAAACCAATTCCTCGACTAAGAATTCCGGGAGTCGGAGGTCTGGATGCTACCAATAATGAAGATGCATGATATGAACCAACCTACAAAATTTAAAATAAAAGAATATCAACAAATACATAAAGTGGATATATAATCAGACATATAGAAAGAAAAAAAAATCATGAAAATATGATTCCAATTTTGATATGTTATATTGTTAATCTCTCATAGATACATGTTTTTCTTTGACTTACCTAGAATAGATAATATCTTCAAAATAAATAAAATCACAAAATAGCTTTTTGCAGTTTCAAATTTTGACTTTAGTGATTACACAATCAGTACCATCAATGCTTTGATTTCCTAAACTGAAGTATAAACCATACTTTAATACCCTCACAGATGGTAACTACTAACAATGAAAATAGAAAAAAAAAAATTATAAATGTCATAAGGTGAAAACAAGATCGCAACCATTATTTTTCTTTGCATTTCATAAACTATACGCCTACCTACATTCTATTCACTAGTTTTTACCTTTTGATTTCAAGGTTGCAATTAAAATCAAGTGACAACGGTAATATAGTGAATATCATATTCAAGTTTCTTACTTCAGCATACAAGTCAAGCCATCATATATTAAACATATATAGTTTTGTTAGGTACAAGTCATAATTTCCGTTAATGCTTGTATCATACAAGAAAGAAACCGTTTTTCACGTATATTATATTACTAGCACGTTAAAAAGATAGCTAGAGAGTAGACACCCAATACATGATCATCTTTTCTGACTGAACACAATGAAGTTAAATCATCAATAGATTCAGTGTCAAGATAAATAAATACAGTCCAGGAAATAAAATTGGAAAAATAAGGAAAAAATGCTAACCGAATCCACAGATGAGATTAAGGAAACCACGCACATCACAAGAGCCATTTTCCACTGGATGACAGGAGTACCCCATTGTAATGGATAAGGAAATCTAAACCATGGGGATAATTTCAATGCATGAGAAGTATCAACTCGACAATGCTTCATCCTTGAGACATGCTTTCTGCAGTGCTCAGAAACCATATTTGAGGCGGGTATATTTATGTCACACCCTTTGTAGTTATAGACCCCCGCTTCAGTCAGCAAGAAAGCAGCTGCCCATGTGATTGCCAGACCCAAAGGAACCTGGAGTTAGGTGAAGAAAAGAAAAATCACAGTTAACAGAAATATTTTTGTTCACTTCTGACTAGTAAATCGGAAGGATATTGTAACATTAAACTTACTGCATATATTAGAAATATGCGATGTCCAAGAACAGAAATCTTACGAAGATACTGCAAAAAGCAAGAAAGAATAGATTAAGCATGTTAGCAGAGTGCAATGATTCATCCATAAAAGGAGGGAACTGAAAGTCAACAAACTTACAAGAGAAAAAACAATAACCACTAATATCTGCACTGCACCAATCTCGAGACATGTACCAACTAGCGGAAAACCATAACTGTAAAATGAAAGTCCAACTGCAGCAATAGTTGGGGATACAACCACAGGATTGATCAACCTGAAAATTCAGATGGCACGCAACATTTTTATTTCAGACAACTCAAACACTGTCTATAGTCATTTAATCATTCATGAGGAAAGGTAAAGGGCATAGGTCTCTGGTATTGATAGGTTAATATCATCATACCGTAATCCACACCCATTGAAGTTAAAAAAGATATGATCTCATCATCTGGCATTCTAACGCGAGACAATTGCCAAAATAGAGGGAAATTACAGCTTATTCCATCACAAATACTTGTTCTAACTCTGACAGTTTGACACCTATGACATGCAAACAGTTCTAATCCCGACAACAATCTAGATGCATCCAAATGTGTTCTGAATACTTTACTGAGGGAGATGGAAGACTACTAACAGTGATAGGAAGAGACTTTTAGGTCTGTGTGGAGTGGACTACAAACCTCCTACAGATAGCCAGTTTCATATGCAATTAATTTTACACAATTTTTCGATATAACCCATATAAACCCTTATTCTGTGTTTCAACTATTGTTATATTGTCAAAGAAAAGGAGGACAAAATTACTGCCCACTACAAAGACAAAATAAAATTAATGGAAGGAGGCATCAGAACTGGCTGTGCACACTGAAAATAAATAAAGAGGAATTATACACATAACAGGTGGGAAGGAACCCTGATTTCATGGAAAAATTATATTTGGACACATTATGTTTAACCATTTAAAACAGCACATTTGCATTTAATAATACTCGATATTTAAGATTCTTAAAATTGAATTCCTAGATGGTACTCCCTCTGTCCGAAAATGAATGCAGTTTAAAGTTCTCACACATAAATTAAGAATAAATATATCATTTTTTTATATAATTATACAAAAATAGCTTTACTCTCTCAATATATACATTAGTTTTACCTACTGCAAATTAGAATTGATGTAAGTTATATGGGGGACAAAATAGGAAAAACATTAATATTAATATTACATAACAAAATTAAGAACATTAGTTATTTTGGAAAAAAAATTCAAATGTTAATTGCTAAAATGGTACATGTTGATACGGAGAGTAGCATAAAGTTAATCATACATTAAATCAATCAATTATTACAGCTATTAATTACCATAAATTAATATTGAAAGAGAAACAAAATTTCCTTTAGAAAGGTCAAATAAACAACCCCAACATATACAATATTTTAAAGAACAATCACGTAAGCAGAACTAAAATTTTATTCTCATTATTCTTCTTCCCAGCATTATCTCCTACAGATATTCTATTTTCTCAAACTTTAGCCGTTAGCACTACATTACAAATTGCCTCAATGCACAAAAATAAATGCTGGTGATAAAACATTGAATAACGTACTAAAAAACAGAAAAATAAACAGGCATAAAAATATCCCACAATCATACCTTACTAACAGTGACATAAGTCCAGTATATCCCAGGAATGTTTGAAAAGCTGATCCAATAATTATAGCCCCCTGCAGCTCCTTCATTATATGTTTGAATTTCTGAAAATTAACACAAAATTTCATGAGCGGTCTTAGAACATTTTCGGAAAAATTATTTCCCACAATTTCAGCTGTTTTATAGAGAGAAATAAAATAACTGTACGTTTGAAACAAAAGCTGAAATTTGTATGAACAGCTTTTTTATTTCTTAACGAAAAAAAAGTTATTTTCGTGGATATGAAACTTTAAAACTTATGATTATTTTTCAATAAATTTTTTCCCTAAAGCTAATTTACTACAAAAACGTGGATTTATTTGTTGTATTCATTATTCAAAAGAAATTAAATATCTCCAAATCGATTTTAGCAAACTTACTCAAGCAAAAATTTATTCCGATTATAATTGACCATAACAAAAACAATTCTATGTATTATACATATAATCGATTATTGAAATAATCTAATCTTCAACCAGCTCATCAAAAACCTCATAAAAAAATCTCACAAACAACAGAATCATCATCAGAAACATAGAGAAATGAGAAGAAAAACACACATTTCCATTCAACCCTTGAAACTCGGGAGAGTTGATGATCGCCAAGGCCGGAGCCAGATAAACAAAGGAAGGCCCCTGTATCAAAGGCAACCTCGACCCAAAACTGGTATGCAACAGTGTAGTCACTCCCGACACAAACAGCACCGTCGACACCACCGCAGAAATATCCTCCTACACCCACCAACACAACCCACATAATAATAATAATTATAATTAAATTCAACTCAATTACCAAAACCAATTCAGTTACTTCATTCCAAACTTGAAACCACTCACATGAGAACCTCCCATTGCCGGCACTATAACCAGCGGAACCAGAATCAACGAACCCAACACCGAAACGTAATGCTGAATACCATACACACCAATGGGAACTAAAACAAAACACATTAACATCATCAGCACATAAATTAAATTCTATATCAAAACTTTCAACCTCAAAGAAGCTACAATTACTATTATTATTGTTATTATTGTTATTACCTAAACCAGGTGAATCTCTGAGCTCGTACTTCATATGCGAATGCCTCGAAACGAAACCGTCGTCGTCCACACTCAGCGGCGGCGCATCCACCACTTCCTCGTGCCTCGCCGAGCGCCGCGGTGGCTCCGCGGTGGCCTGGCCATTGGTGCTGAGAACCGAACTCTTGGGGACTCCGTCGGAGTCCCTGCGCTTCTTCGCTACCTGATCCTTGGAAGGAGGGGGAAGCGGCGGAGCCTTGTCGCGGTGGGCCACGCCGTTCGCCTGGGCCCGGCCCGCTTCGAGATCCACATTAGTGTCCGGCTCCCTGGGCTTGGGCTGCAGAGCTATCTGGCCCGAGTCGCTGGCATTGGCCTCGCCGGAGAACTTGGGCCTGAAGCCCGTTTTCTTGGCCCAGGAAGAAGGCGGCATTGGCTTGGCGTCCGGCGCCGGCGCCGGCGGCCACGGCCCCGGACGGTGTGGCGGTTTGGGATCGGAAGCAGACATGGCTAGTAAGTCATAGTGGTTAGCGAAGTGGCAGATCTGAAGAGTGCGGTTCCTCTGCGAAGGTTTAGGGTTTTTATTTGGGTCTCGGAAGAGAGAGAAACCTCCGGCATGAAAGAGAGAGAAAGTGAGTGAAAATGGAAACTGAAAATTGAAAAATGTGCAGTGAAGTAAGAAGAGAAGTGGCGATGACAGAGAAAATTAGTAGCAGCTAAAACTTAAACTTAAACCGCCTCATTCTCATTTCTCATTCTATTTATTTATTTACTTTTGTTTTATTTTCTTTCTCATTTTGTCTTCCTCTCTCCCCAAATAACCGCTGCTGCTTACGTCACTCCCTACCACCACCATTTTCTAGCAATCCAATTCCTTTTTAATGTCTCACTTCTTTTAAATCATTTTTTCTTTTTAATTTTAGATCATATCATAAATGAACTACGCATCAAATGTCCTACTTAAATTCCTTTACATTTATTTCTAATAATGTTTGATCAATTTTTGCCTCATTTTTTGGACTCATAAAATACTGCCATTTCCTCTCCATTTATAATGCGTGTCATCTTAAATGAGTCTGCTTCTTAACACTAGCACCACAAAATTTTTTAAGATAAATGCTAATTAGTGTTATTAAAAGTGGGGGAAAAAAGTATTATTAATGCACTTACAATGTTATTTAAGAGATACATTATATTGTATATATTTTTCATTTTGAGAAAATAAACAATAAAAATGTTTTGTTCGGCACGGATATTAGATGACTGGTCACTTTCCCTCGTCAATATTTTCATATGATATATGCAGCTCAACAATTGAATTGCCAACTAATTCAGCTAAAAATATATATATTTGACTGTGTTAAGAAACAAAGATGTGTGTTTTAAGTTGCTGCTATCATTCATCATTTTCATATTTTTGCTGTAAATACTAGTTAAACTGACGTCGTTTGTATAATGACATTTTAATGAATTGTTACTTGTTTTATGAAATTGAAGGACCCTACTCAAGATAGCCAAAAACAAAATATGTAGAAATTTGTGGTTTACCCTCTTTAAATTTTGAAAAGAAATAGAGAGAATATGCCAAGATGAAAAGATGGGTTGAACGACTTTATGGATTATGGAAACTTCACGAAAGTATTTGAAAGTGCGACCTGGTTTTGTGTTTGATAAAGCCAACAAAAGACAAAAAGTTTGTTTTGAAGCTTTGAACAATATAAACATGAAAAAGTGATGAACTTTGGATGCCTTGAAAACGATACTAGCTAGCTATCATGTTGATATTACGATCACTGTTTAATTTATGCCATGTTCTTTAATTCACTTTTCAGTCTCATAATAATAGCTTTAAGTCTTACACATTTTGACCGCGAATATTATAAGTGTGTTTGGTTTTTAGTGTTTTTCGCTTTCGGAGACATGTTAAATATCAATTATACTCTTGTGAGTCATTAGTGTTCAAAGTGCTTCAAGAATTTTCCAAACATATTCTAAATCATACCACTTTGTAATGCTTAAAAATTAACATATATCAAATAAATAAGGGAAAGACTAGCTAAACATTTAATTAAATAATTGTATATCAAAAAGTAAGTTTTTAAATAGTTTTAAATAAGTTTTCAGATTAAATTTTAAAAAAAAAAATTAAACCTTAAAAATTAACCTATTTAAATACATGGATTAGATTGTAACTAATTTTACTTACTTCAATAATTTATTACAAAATAAGTTTTTAGTTAAATTAAAGCGACAAAAATCTCATCAAACCTTAAAAATATTATCCGTATAGGCTAAGGTAAAACTTGAAATTCAATAATTAAAGTAGACAAAATTTAGTACACCCCCAACTTCATATCACTCTTAATTCTATTATGATATGAAAATTTTGTGGACTTAATTAATACATATGGTAAGATGTAAAACACTTCGTAAATAATAATGCCATATCGACCAATGACAGCTGGATTTTGTTATGAAGCTAGAATTAGTCCTTTGTTTTTCAGTAACTGTTGCTTTAATTTAATTTTCATATATAGAATTTTTGTTTCTTAACGTTTAATGGGGTTTAAATAATGTGGTGGGGTCCAATCCAAATTATGGGTAGTTTTAATTCTTGGTTGAATGTGGATGAGAAGTGAGGTGGCTTGAAAGTTCAAACAAAATGCCAGCTAGGAAAAAGACTAGTAGCCAATTCCACCAGCTTTCATGCAACGTGAACAAAGTAGTGCTCTTCGAGTGGGGCCATCAACCACAATTTTCATGAAAAATTTGTTCCAATTTAATGATGACTTCGTAACGAAAAATTATTAAATTTTTTCTAAACATGCATTTGTAGGTGGTTTTCTTGGAACTGGTTACTCAAGTAGTAACTCCCATTTATGCACGTGAAATTTCAGAACTGAGGAAGGAAAGGAGAGTAAAATGGGGGTAGAGTTTGAGTTTGTTTCCTGTCAAATCAATGTGTGCCTCGAACATGATCATAAGGTTGTTCGTAACGTATGGAGTTAAAGGCCAAGTGCATGTGTTGTGTTGGAAATGTTGTGATGTTCATTCCGATAAATCTGTAACGCATAAGTGAGTTTCGAAAACGTATGCAAGTTGATGGCTCGTAACGTTAACAAACATGAGAATCCCAAATTGAGGCTCAGTTGTTTAGGAGGTGTCAATTGTTTCGTGTGGGGTTCCCCATTTCATTACCATATCTAAACTTTTCTTATTGTCAACTTATGGACATCTGGATAAATTATTAGGTTTCTATTTAATTATACTACTTTTTTAATATTTATAAAATCTAATTTAAAATAATTATTTAATTTTTTATATAAGATTTAATTCATATTATCTTATATATTATTTCTTTTTTATAATATTGTCTCTTTTGAATTCGATAGAAATTTAATTTTATATATTTTATATCAAATTTATTTTATTAAATATATTATAAATTAGATATCGTTTGTATATTGTTGAGATATTTATTTTTTATTCCAGTCAATTGAAAATCTCTATTTTATTAATATAAAATATAAAATAGACAATATTAAAAAAAAATAATAGAAACTAAATAAATTAAAAAACTATAAGTATAAAAATAAAAAATAAAATATTTTTAAATTATAAAGACTACAAATAATTAAAAGATAATATAAATATTAAAATGTTTCTTTTTTAAATATAAATAAAATAAAGTAAGTAAAATTTAAAAATATTTTAACCTAAACTAAATTATAAAGCTTTTTTTTTTTTTTTAAACAAGTTGACCTATTCCATTTCCATGTTCATTGTCTCATTCCTCTTATAGTCACTATCTTCAATTTGTTGTTCCCTCAACTTGTTTCTAATCTTACTAACCCGTCAGTGTGACATTTGATTGGAAGTAGCTATATTGCATTTACAATGTGTTCATATCGAATATTGACTATATATTGCTAAGTGCCAAAGTCTGCTAATGACTATAGAGTAGAAATGAAGGGGGACAAAAACAAAGAATAATGTCAAAAAATGATATTTACTAGAATTTAATTAAAATATAACTTTATTTTATCATTTAATATTTATCTATATATAATAAGGGTGAGCCTGGTGAACAAAATTTGTGATATGGTAGAAAGTCTTAATTCAAATTATGTTATCATTCTTATAATTTTTACAGATAAAAAAAAATATGATTAAAGTTTATAATAATTATTTCATAAATCATATTTAAAATTATTTTTAATTAGTTAATAATATAAATTATTTACATTAACATCTTATTGAATTAAATTCTTATTACATTATAAGAAATTGTCATGTAATTAATGATACACACTGTAGTGATATAATATTTGTCACTAAAAATTATTTTTACATATATTATATATATAACTTATATGTTAGTATATTGTTAATATATTTATAACAAGATATTTTTCTTTCTCTCTCTAACTAATGTCTTCACTCCTTTTCACTTTCGATCTGATTATCTATTTATAGGGATGAGAATATGTTAGGACTTAAACAGGGAGTGTATAGTCTCACCTCTTTAAAGTCTAGTATGATTTGACCTATTAATAAAAAGGCCAAATTTAGACTTTTAAAAAATCTATTTATATATAAAAAAAACTAGACTTAGAATTATAGAAAAACATGTTAGGCCTGATAGATTAACCTATTTATTTATATAATATAATAATAAAATAATATATATATATATATATATATATATATTAAAAAAATATAAATAAACAAATAAATTTATAAAACAAAAATAAACTATCAATATTTAAAATATTTTTTTATACAATTATTTTTTTCATTATAGGTTTATAAGTTTATAACCTGTGCATGAGTGTACATCAACATACATTATTATACATGAATTGTTCATTCAATAGAAAATGATTCAATTTTTCTCTTATATTTCTTTTAAGATTTAAATTTTAATAATATTAATTAAACTGTATTTTAAAAAGATTTTTGTTAATTTTTAAAATTTGAGTTTATTGGTCTAATTAACATTCAAATTTAAATAGATTTTTAAATAAGTTAATAGGTTATGTCATACTTAAAAAAAGTGAAGACAGATTTATAAAAAGTTTGTGATAGACAATAAGTCAAACTTATGCTTTAATTTTCCAGAACATGTCTAGCCTATATATTCAAAGTCTGAACTTCCTTACCTATCCATATCAAGTCTAACATTCAAGTAAGTTAATCTCTTAGTATATTAAATGCGCATAATGGACAATGATTTTATTTCGATATATGAATTATTTATACTAATCATAATGAACTCAAATCTCAATGGTTCATAACTTAAGATTACTAATTAGATAATACATCAATATTTGATTTTGTACCAATAATTAATCCCTAATCACCTTTCTTATTGTAATTTAAGTTATAAATTTTATATCCCGTTCGACTCTATCAGTTACTAAAAGATATTGTTTTAATTTAGTGATCAAATGAGGTGATCTAACTTGAAAAACTTGTCACGTCCCTCAATCATCAAGTGAGTCGAGGAGGGTCAAATTTGTTCATGTGATCTCTTTGACTACCATGGGTGTCAAATAAATTGATCCAATTTGTTCACATAATCTCTTTGACTAGCAAGGATGTCAAGGGGAGTAAGAACATGTTGGGAACTATTCGATTATCGAAAGTATCAAAGGGTCTCAAACTTATTAGTTTACGGCGGACGAATAACCTATTTGATATAATTAAAAAGTGTACGTATAAATTATAGCATCACGTA